GCGCGGCAAAACTGAGCTTGGTCAGGGAATATTCTTGGCTTTTTTACTAGTTTTGCTGATTTTCTGAGTTTATTGGGCGATTATTTTTCACTACATTTACGCGGAAAATCCCAACTGATATTTAAGGGGGACTAAAATTACCATTTTACCCCTGACAAGCGTCAAAGCCTATTTTTCGTCATTTTAAGCATTTGATATGGTCGGATAATCGGCTTAAAATTGTGAATCATCTGCGGCCCACGTTCGGGGATAATCGAACCACCATACACTTATCAATTTTCAGCAATAGTCGGCTTTCCTCAGGCTTGGAAAGCGTTATCGGTGGATTTTTCTTCAAGTGTAGAAAACTGCCAAGTCAGCTTTCCTCAGTCTTGGAAAGCGTTATCGGTGGATTTTTCTTCAAGTATAGAAAACCACCAAGTTGGCTTTCCTCAGGCATGGAAAACATCATCAGTGGATTTTTCTTCAAGTATAGAAAACACAAAATTCCTTTGTCGGCTTTCCTCAAGTATGGAAGGCATTAGCGGTGGATTTCTTCAAGCATAGAATGACACCAAATTCGTTCGTCGACTTTCCTCAGGCATGGAAAGTATTATCCGGCAGCTTTCTTCATGTTTAGAAAGGTACCAAACTCTTCAGTCGGCTTTCCTCAAGCATGGAAAGCGTTTCAACCAATGTCACTCGGTAGATTCCTTCAAGCTTAGGAAGATGCCAAATTCGTTTGTCACCGACACACTGGTGCCAGATACGTATTCTATCCCTTTACTCTTTTATCTGTGGAATTAAAATTTTTCTGCAGGTATCGGCGTATAAAAAATGATTTAGGATCGCAGAACGTCTTTAATCATTCTCCGTCCCTATCGGCTACTTTGACTATCGTTTTCGAAACTAACGTTTCTACAAACTCAGTCAAAGTGGGGGCTTCTGTAGACACCTAAAAATGTCTCCCCAAAACCAAACTCGATGACAAATAACCTTTCACCGCCACTGTTGGTCGGGTTTAGTATTTAATCCCGAGAGTGCTTCAAAAATCGTATTTTATTAAATTCTTATTTTTGAAAGGTCCATGGATCATTCTTGATGTTTGATAAAAACATAGTTTTAATTTTAGCCCAAGCTTGTTAATTAATTTTAAGCCCAAACATTTTATTTTATTTATTATTTTAGCCCGAATAATAAAAGTCAGGGAAAATCCCGAAATTATCAATCGACACTTAAAAAGTCGAAATAAATTAGGGTTAAAAATGAATTTAGACGGAAAAATGGACTGGAACTGACCATGTCACGGTACAGCCTGACCGTGTCACGGGAACCCTTCCCGTCTGACGGTGGGACTTCCCGTGACACAGGAGGTCTGCCGTGACACGGGAAGTTCCGTGTGCTTTCCGCGTAAACCCTTAACGCGTTTTCCGTTCCGTTTTCTTAAAATTTCCCGCGTCACTCCAAAGCTGTACCGTGTCACGGGAAAGTGTACCGTCTGACGGTACAGTTTGACCGTGTCACGGGATACTTTTTTTAGGGTTTTTATCATTTTAGGGTTCCGTGTGCTCCCTCAGCACGTTTCCCTATAAATACTCCCTCATTTCTGATGTACGGGGCAACCAGAATTTTATTATTCTTATTTTCTCTCTTCTATGCTATTAACCTAAACACTAGCCTACCCTTTTCACTTCAAAATTCCTTCTTCAAGCACTCAAAGGAGTCCATATTTGACTCGAGGTTCTGTCCTTAAGCCAAGACGTGAAAGGTAGAATCGTTTGAGGGTTTGGCCCCAAAATCAACCTTATTTTATTTAATTTAATTTAGTTATTGATTTATTATTTCCTTGAAGTTACTAACTCGTTTATTATTTTGTAGTTGCAAACAAACAGATTCAAAGTAAGGATCATGCTCTTGTTATTATTATTATTTTTCTAACGATTTTTATGTTGTTGGAATTATGATTAAATTGGTTTTTATATTAATATTGATTCTATTTTTTTCATTGATCACCATATTGCATGTTTAAAGGGAATATGTAATTGAAAATCACGCCTAATAAGATAATTTGGACAACCGGTTTAGGATCCTTTTAATATTATTATTAATTGAAGTGATCACCAAATTTTTAGAATTATGTGTGCATTAATTTTGAACCAATTTAGTTAAATAACAGTTTGGAGCGAATTGAATTATTGTTTGTATGCCTTTGAGATCACATGAATGCTTTTCAATATAAGAATCGAGTAGAGGCCAATACGGGCGAATGTGACTCCATGACTCACTTCGTACCATCATCCCCGATCCTCCTTTTGTGGTTCCGAATCATATGGAGTTAGTAATCTCATGGATTATGAATGGGGTGTAACCTTCACGGGTCAATCGTTGTTGCTTATCGTTCTCCCTTATCGTGGTTGCCTTTTATGATCCGTGAACGGTTTACAAGTTCCTTAAAAACTTGTTGGCGGCTCCCTACTTTATTTGTCCCTAATCGTTGTCCCTAATCGTAATGTCAATTCCCACTTCCTATGACTGCCAAGCATATTCACAACATGCTTTTAACGTAGGCGCACTTCGAATGACGCCTACAATTATTATTATTATTTATTGTTGGATTTTTTTTATTATTTGATGAGACTAACGCACTAGTTTTAAATATTCATTTGTTTTGAAAGGGCCTATAACGGTTCTAAATTGTAAATTTGACTTTGTTTGACTTTGGTTTGACTTTTGAACTTGGGTTGTTTAAAAGGGTTTTGAAAATGTCTTCCGCTGAGTGTCTTTGATAAATGCCTTAGCTGTTATCACGGTGGTGGTAATAGCTTGGTTATTTCCTACTTTGTATTTTAAAAGGGTAAAATAGGTTATTTTAAAAAGGGGAGTTTTCAAGGTTTTATAGAGTTGGAGGTGAATAGGAATTCTATAGATGACACTTTCGGGAAGTTAGATGATGTTGTTGGTGTTGGGAATACAAAAATGAGGGTTTTAGATATGATTTAGGGTGTCACCTCTAAGGTCTTGTTTTTGAATTTTGTGACATTCATCAACATCCTAACACTAGGATTTCAAAAGGTAAAGAGGGGGACAATAATGGGGAACTTGTGCATGGTCTAGCAGTTGAAGGAAATAAGGACATTGTTGAAAGCGGAGAAGATGGACTTGGAAAGAGACATCCAAATAAGGGTTCAGGGTTGCAACCACATGAACCTCTACCAACAAATATTTTAGAGGAAGCTGATGATGGAGAAAAGAACCGCAACCAGAGTGATAGTAAGCGAACCCTAAAGCCGTCTTCGAAGGTGATTTCAGGAGATTATATCGGAAATCGTAGGGCTAAGGTGTCCAAGATTAAGACATCATATTTGAATCTTGTAAAGTAGATTAAACTGTGGTCTTCCGTAAGTGGCAGGTGCGTGAGTGCATGCACATTGTTTTTGTCATGTTAATATTCTATAAATAATTACAATAAATGATACATTCATACTACTTTTGATGATTAGCTTATATGTATGAGGGTGTGATACCTAGCTTAGCTTAGCTAAACTTGTATTGATTGTGCATGTTTGATTACTAAATACTCCATAATAAAATAAAAACATTAAATGTTCAATCATTTCTATATTTGGAAATTCTAGTTACTTAACTAGCTAGAAATAAGTGATGTAAAGTGAATTAAGTATTTCCTATATATGTAGATTTGCACTAAGTGGCTCTAGACATAGCTATCTCTAGATTGATTGATTGTGTCGTGGTAATTGAAGATTGATGATATTTTGAATATAACTATCTTTTTCCTACAAAGTATTTTAGCCTTTAATGATCAACTAAAAATAGTCATAATGCAACCTTGTTTCTTTCACTGTCTTCAGCTGAAAAAAATGTGATGTATAATGGTATTCAGATACTATACCATCATGATACATTACAGACTAAGATGGTATTCAAATAAGGTACCATCCAGACCCTTGGTGGTTAATATCGTGATTAATTGCACCCATCATTTAATTTCAGTGGCCTTACTCTGTTGGAATGTGAAGGGGAATTTGCTAATAAGGAATGTTGCCATAATGTCCTGCATTATCGTCGAAGGGTGACTGCAGGTGGAGACTAGGTCGTTGGACTAATCTTCCCTAGGCCAAAAAAAATTTGTAATCACTAAACAGACCCTTATAACTAGCATAGGAGTAAGTCGAGGGTTGAACCACTAGGAATGGGAGGTGGTCAGTATTGCTAGAGTCAAGCTATTTCGAAAAAGAGTGAAGTAAGGTGTGTGTACTCTAAAACAACTAAGAAAACGAGATTAAAACCGAATATATCAAACACTAGGGTTTATGATCCACATATACATGCAATGGATACAACTAATCGGGATTGGAATTGACTAAGTCGAGTGTTGCGAGGGAAAATCAATTAAGCAATCAAGAGAGTATGATAGGCTATTCTCCTAGAGGTCAAACTAGCGTGAACTACGAGAGACTCTAGCTAGGAACTTCAAAAACCAACTCAATTGACAAATGCAAGCCAGAAATCAATTGTCCGTATCAATGTGAACTTACAATGTAATCTAGTGCAATGATCAAAGTTAGCTACTCTTCAATCAATCACACACATGCACATAATCAATCAACCAATTTAATCACTACATCAACTCCATCAATTTTCCCCAATTATCATCAATCCAATACTCATATATGCTTCACCATTCCCCTAGAAAGAAAACTACTCACAATCTATGGAAATCAAGATAAAAACTAAGCTAAACAACAAATTCATCATCATCATATTAATCAAACTAATTCAATCACAAATCAATCAAACTTGAATAATCAACAAACCAATTGAAATCAAAAGCTAAATATTGCATTAAAGTTAAATAAATCCTTACAAACTTGCTTCAAATCAATGGAGAAAATACTTAGAATCATCAATCTTTAATCATCAATCAAGAACTTCTCTCTCTACAACCTAGAGTTTCTTTCTCTACAAAATGATCTAAAATTTCTACTTTAATTCCCTTCTCTCTAAGAAAATCTAACCTTCTTGCAATCAAAACTCAAGAGCACATCATCACAATTCTCAAGAACATCGTTAGTCGAAGAATTAATCACACAAACATTATCAATGGAGCGAAGGGAATTAACACACATGATTCCTTTCATAAGGGACAAAGACTCATGCATCGGTTTTAGCTCAAAACTTTCCTCATTGTTACCAACTCTCAAATTAATACGACCTCCCTTAACATCTATCAAAGCTCCCGAGGTAGCTAAGTAAGGTCTCCCTAAAATGATAGGAATATGGTTATCTTCCGCAATCTCTAGCACAATGAAATCAACGGGGATAGTGAATTCTCCTATCTCGAGGGGGACATTCTCAACTTTACCTTTAGGAAACTTAATAGAATGTTCAACCAATTTAAGGGTCATGTTGGATGGAAGGAGCTCACCTATCTTAAGTCTCTTTAAGATGGAATAAGGCATGATGCTAACACTAGCACCAAGATCACAAAGGGAATTTTGGAACAATTTTCCTTTAATATTGAAAGGGATGGAGAAATTCCCCGGGTCTTTCATCTTTGGGGGCCAGTCATTATGGATAAAGGCACTACAACACTCCCCCAAACTCACCAGTTCAACCAGATTGCAATCTCTCTTGCCGCTCAAAATTTCCTTAAGAAACTTAGAGTAGTTTGGCATAATTTCCAAGACTTCGGTGAAAGGAGTAGAAAGATAATTTTCCTTAAGCATCTCGATGAATTTTCCATATTATTCATCCAATTTGTGCCTATTCAACTTTGGGGGGTAAGGAAGTTTGGGTTTGTAGACTTCTTTTTCTTTCTCTTTCACCTTCTCAACTTGTTCCTTAGCAACTTCCTCAACCAAAGGGCTCTCATCTCCCTCACACTCAATTGGACTCTCTTTCGCATCAGTCTTCTTATACACCTCACTCTCAAGGACCCTTCCACTCCTAACTAGTGGTGATAGAACAAACCGGTTCCTTAGGATCAATTCCTTGTGAAGGTAAAGAAGAAATGGTAGCATGCTCTTTTAAGGTGTTGGCTAGTTGAATGATTTGGGTCTCAAGCATGTTTCCATGAGTTAACATGTCATTGACCAATTTTCCATTAGATGATATATGTGATCGTTCAACTTCTTGGCTTGATCTTCCATGAAATTCTCTAACCTACTCATAAATTTAAATTGTTGATCATAGGAATTATCATCTTGCCATTGGATCTTTGGAGTAAACAACAAATTCAAAAACTAAAGATTGCATTAAAGTAAAAGAAATCCTTACAAACTTGTTTCAAATCAATGGAGAAAATTCTTAGAATCATCAATCTTCAATCATCAACCATGAACTTCTCTCTCTACAACCTAGAGTTTCTCTCTCTACAAAATGATCTAAAATTTCTACTCTAATTCAATTCTCTCTCCAAGAAAATCTAACCTTACTCTAAAACTAACTCTTCTTTCTCTAAAATTAGAAGGAAAATTTATATATAGTAAAACTAACAAAGAGAAGGTAGTTTGATCCTCCAAAGAGACCTGTACAGGCGCGGCCATCACCAAGGAGGATGCGTGGCCGCGCATTAGAGGGTACGGAACAAAGACCCTGAGAGGCGCGCCCACGCCGAGGAGAGGCGCGACCGCGCCATGGTCGCCCGTGCTCGCGCTTGGAAGCAGGGCAGCCTCCTTCACCTTTAATTGAGCTCTTCCTCATGCACTCCACTTGATGATGTTGATGAACACAGAAGATGGCAATCTTCAAATAGCCTCCACGGTGGGTTCAACACCAAGAATAGCGTATCCACCGCTTGCATGCACGAGCTAGAAGACTTGGACTACATACTCCTTCAAACTTGAACTTTAAATGGTAGGCAAGAGGCATCTCAAACGATGTAAAACTTGGGAAGGAGACTCGGGAATCCTCGGATTATGATCATAACCTGAAAAATGAACGAAAACAAGCAAATAAAAGAGAAAATATTAAAATAAACCAAGAAATGCATAAAAATAGAAAATCAACTAAGAAAATGCAAACTAAGGAAATAAAGAGTAAAACTAAGGAAAAACTAAAGAAAATAGCTATAAAATAGCATGAATTCCACCCTAAAGAGAACCAAATGAGTGCCATAAATGACATTCATCAAAGGGTTGATACGGAGTATGTGTGTGTGTCATCTAAGTTGTATACTAAGAAATGGGGTATCAAGTATGAGGGGCACATCAAAAGGATCATGTTGTATCCTGCCTTTGTGGTATGATAATTTGTCGTGTGTTTGAATTTTTTCGGTACTTGTAACTTTACAGTTGTCATATTCTATATTTTTATTTTTATTGCATTTTTCAAATTAAGCCGGTGACAGACATGGACGATGCTCCCACTCTTAACAAAAAACATGAGCATCCTTTGCGTGGTGTTTCTTATTGCCAAATTTTTGTGGTGAGTATGGCTGTTTTAAATGTTGTATTTTGTGTACTAATTTGACAGTCGTGTTGTTGTAATTAAGGGCATTGTGAATCACAGATATTTGTCCCTAATCTAATGGATGAACGTTGGTGACGTGCTGCCTTCTCCTTTAAGGAACAAAAGATATGGCTCATGGACTTGATATACTTTGATCCTGCTTATTCATATAACACGAAGCATTCATTCCAAAATTGGTAAAAACTCGTTTGTGTTTTACCTTAAGCGTTGTTGAAAGAAAATTGGTAACGATTGATTACTGATTTATGTATTCAAATAGATAATTACAGATTAGTACAATGGAGGTATTGATTCTCACCCATGATAAAAGTTGGGAACAGGGTACCTTTGGAGGGTGGCCTATTAAAAGCGTCGAGATTGTTCACCAACCAGATATGTGAGTTCACAACTACTGGTTTAACTATCCTTGTTGTGTGGAAATAGATTATGTTTTCTCTAAGCTTATTGTGTCCTCTTTGTGTATAATGTTAGTTGTGGGGTTATCATACTTGCTTGCATTAGGGCAAGTACAGATCGTTTTTATACAAAGTATCAAATGGTTAATAAATTGTATTCAGGTTCTGTTTGGATTATTAGTTGACAAATGTGATAAGGATAATTTATATGCTATCCTTGATTCACAGGAATGAGGAGTTAATTCACATGCCGTGGAATTTGACCAGGGTAGGCCCAACCGCTTGTTGAGGATCTGAAATCTGATTGCTATGAAAGACGGGACAAGCTAGATGACTTAGTTATGTTGTAAATGGCTTAGTTGTGCTTGTATGGAAGGGAGCGGTGTATTTTTTTGGTATAAAAAGTGATTTTTATGGTGGAGAAACAATAACATATGTGCTGCTCACTTGACTACAAACTAGATTTGGACCACCATGCATGGTATAGATAATGATTTTGCTGTTCTGTGGCATCGAGGCACAAAAGTATATAGGATATCATCTTGTACATAATTGGTATCAGTGTGATACCAAGTTGACTATGTGTAGACACCCATTTGTGTCTCCCCAAAACCAAACCCGGTGATGAGTACCTTTCACGTTGAATCATAATCGAATGAAGTAAAAGTGTGGAAAGTTTAGTGTTGCGGATAGTTTTATTTTCTTTTCTTTTCTCTCTATTTTTGAAAACCTATTTTAAGAAAACAGCCAATCCAATTTGGTTGGTCCATAGTATGGTTCAGATAATGGTGCATTTGGAGGGGGCTTGAAAAGAGCTTTCCAACGATATATTATAAGCCCAATTCCGATGAGTAATGAGGAAGTTATGGCCAAATTACTAAACTGGGCCCGGTTTGAGCCTTATATGCGGCCCAATGATCAAGGGGAGGGCCTAATATGGATTTATCATTCCTAATTCAATTAGCATTGGTAAATTGAATTTTGTTGACTTTTTAGAGTTTTAATGAGAATAAAAGAGTGTTTTTATGGAAAATACGATTTTGCCCTTCTTCACGGCTAAATTTTATCTGAATTTAGAAAACGCGTGAAAAAGTTAATTAGCGCCTAACGCCAGACATTAGCGCCCGGCGCCTGGCGCTAGCGTTAGCGCCTGGCGCTAATGTTCAGCGCCTGGCGCTAATGTTCAGCGCCTGGCGCTAACTTATTTTTCACGTCGATACTCTGATTTGTTTTTCTATCTTTTTGGCTGATTTTCTCTATAAATAGCCTCTTAAAATCTCCGTTTTCATCACGAATGATCACGAATGATCGCAAACTCTCAACAATTCTCTAATTCTCTCCTCTCTAAGCTCTCTCTCTCTTTTTCTAAACCAACCTTTATACACAAAATTCCGCATTCACAAGACCAAGAAACACCTAGCATCGTTCGAAGTTTCCTTCGCCCTAAACGTGAAAGGTTTTAATTTCTAAGGGTTTGGTCCCTAATCTCTATTTCAATTATTTAATTTAATTGTTTGTTTATTATTTTCCTTGAAGTTACTAACGCGTGTATTTTGTTATTAGAAAGAGGTACGAGGCATCCAAGTAAGTGCTTTAATGGTTTTTATTGATATTATGATGTAGAAATCATATTTAGGTTGTTATTATGATTCCCAACGTCATGTTAGGGTGTTTTGATCTTCCTAGTATCATGTTTAGGGTAATAACTAAAAAATCCTAATACCAAGTATGATTAAAAGTATGATGCCTTTTATGTTCTTTCTAATATTTATGATCGTTAGTATCATGTTAAGATTAAAGCTTTAATTTTTGATGCTTAGTGACATGCTAGGGTTTGTGATTAATCTTGTTAGTATCATGCCTAGGGTCTTGCTATTTTTATGCTTTAACATGAACATGTTTATTATTATGATTGTGATTATAGTTGTTATTGATTATTATTATGTTGTTTGATATATATATTTATTGTTATTGCTTGATCACGCCTTTTATGCATGTTTAATGGGAATAGGTACTTGTAATCACGCTTAATAAGATAATTAATAATCTTGTTTAAGGTTAGTGTGATTATAATTCAAGTGATAGCCAATAATAGTTTTATTTGTGCATTATATTCAACCAACATAGATTAAACAGGTTGAGGGTTAAACATAATGATTGCATGTTAGTCAGAAAGCGCACATGCATATGATCAGAATAAAGTAGAGGCCTATTATTAGGGTTGGTTCAATCTCTTTTATATTGGATTTGTACCTTCATCCCCGAACTACCAAACCTGGTTCCAGACCTATTGAAGTTGACGATCTCTTGAATCGTTAAGGGGTGTAACCTTCACCCTGTGAATGGTTTACAAGTTCCTAAAACTTGTTGGCGACTCTTTTGCTCTATCTTCTTTCTCTTTGGACGCCACCGTAATTTAGTGTATGAACATACTAAATATTTCTGTCGCTAGGAACTAAAGCCAAAAGGTGGCGCTGGACTCTGTTTGCTGGCGCCAAGTTCTTCCAATACCGAGCCAGAAATATGCGTTCTAATTTTGACCAGTTTTTAGCACTATTTGCTCGATCCTACTTCCTGATTGAGTTTTTCTCACTTTTCTGAAACCCATATGTGTTCTACATATGGACATGACCCTCTGGAAATTCATGCTTCATCTACCTGATTGAACGCTCTGAGCAACAAAGGGTACATCTGAGAATGTTGAATTCACCAAACCATGGAAGCGAGTTTTTCTAAATTCGCGATGTCCCATCCGCTCGCGCCAACCCTTTACGGTTAGGCTTCCATGCGTTGCATCCGCACAATTAACCATGGACCCTCTATTGACTAACCCATATCCCGAACTTTAGAGAACTAGAGCC